ATTAAAATGAATCATAAATTAAATTATTTTTATCTTTCCTTTTTAATAAATTAATAATTTAAAATAAATATAAACTAATAATAAATTAAAATAATAAATATAATTAATAAATAATAAATTAAAATAAATTATTTAAAATTTTGAATTTCTATTGATTAATGTAATAATATTATTATATAATATAATAATATTATAATATATAATTTGTTGAAATATAATATAAATGTGAAATTTTAGTAAACTATTTATTTTATATCTATTTAAATATATATATACACATGTAATAAATAAAATCAATTTTATTTCAGCCATGAAATATTTAGTACATGATATTTAGTATAATAATATTCATATATTTATATCGTATTACATATACATATATATAAATATATATAGATAAATATATATAGATTTATTTACGATAGTTTTTACATTTTTAAACGTAAAATTATCGCTGCATCATTTCTTTATTAAATAAATTATTTAAGTGATATTACTTCACGGATGAACGTTGGAAATTTCGATCTATTAATAGAAATATATAAGGAGTAAAGAAGTATTCGTTACAAACAAGGATAATAAATAATGCAAGAGAAATAGAATAAGAATCGTTAGTGCCATCTTTGAATGTTTAAAAAAATATGATTTCTTACAGAAATATTTTCGAATTATTTAAATATTTAAAAGATACTTGGTACTGATAATTAATTCTTTATCTTTCTCCATTTATTATAAATAAGAATTGTCAAGATCATCTCTTGAAAACTAAAGATATTTTTTTAAAGAATTACCTTTTTCAAAGCACTCAAAACACAGAAATGACATTGATAATCAATTCTTATTTATTTTCTATCCTTTTCTATTATTTTCTGTTTTTATTTATATTTGAATTTTATTTGCGATTTAAAGAAGGTAATGATTTTAATATTTTTTTAATATTTTTATCGTATTTCGTAAAAAATGAGAATCAAGACAACAATTTTTGGAAAAATATATAATCTTTCTATTTATTTCTTTTTATTAATCTTTCTATTATCTTTTATATAAGTTATTATATTATTATTTTATTTAAGTTATTATATTTTTAGAAATAATCAGATAAATTAATTTTTAAATTCTTAATATACGTTACACATATAATTTAATATATATTAAAATCATGATATTTATTTTATAGCGATGTTCTTAAGGAGTTGAAAAACGGCGCCATTTTACTAGCAAAAGCGCTCCGGAAACTCGATGGCTAAGAAAGAAAATATTTTTTACACGAATAAATTTAACGAATTATCTTATCAGTATTAAATATACTTTGGAAGAGAAAATAATTTTTTATTTTTTAATAAATAGTGTATGAAAATGGCAACTGATAGTAGAAGACGTGTTGCATTAATTACTGGTATTACTGGACAAGTAAAGTTGACATTTCATGCTTTGTTGACATATTTACTTTATTGTATCAAATATTTAATTTTTCTTATATATTATTGTTTTAAATTGTATAAAGAAATCTTATTTTATTTCAACATAAAATAGACGACTAACAATTTTTTTTAGGATGGTTCCTATTTAGCAGAATTTTTATTAGAGAAAGGATACGATGTACATGGTATAATTAGACGAGCTAGCTCTTTTAATACTGCTCGAATTCAACACCTTTATGAGGATCCAAAATGTCATCGTCAAGGTAAAATGAAGTTGCATTATGGTGATATGACAGATTCCAGTAGTTTAATTAAAGTAATTAGTTCTGTACAACCAACAGAAATTTATAATCTTGCTGCTCAAAGTCATGTTATGGTAAATATCAAGTTTAACAACTTTAAATGATATCTAAAAAACATTTTATATTAATATTTAATAATTATAATTATTATATTTATTGTTATATTATTTAATAATTATAATTTTTTTATAGGTAAGTTTTGAAGTAAGTGAATATACTGCTGAAGTAGATGCAGTAGGAACAGTTAGATTATTAGATGCAATACGTACTTGTGGCCTTGAAAAATCTGTTAAATTTTACCATGCATCAACATCTGAACTTTATGGCAGGGTAACTCAAGTACCTCAAAATGAAAAAACTCCATTTTATCCTCGTTCACCATATGGTGATTATATAAAAATATTATTTTATTATTTTATAAATTTTAAATTAAACATATTAAATTTTCAGCTTGTGCAAAATTATATAGTTTTTGGATTGTAATAAATTATAGAGAAGCATATAATATGTTTGCTTGTAATGGTATTTTATTTAATCATGAGAGTCCTCGTAGAGGAGAGAATTTTGTTACAAGAAAAGTGACTAGATCTATAGCAAAGATACATCTTGGTTTACAAGATATTCTTGAATTAGGAAATTTAGATGCTAAACGAGATTGGGGACATGCAAAAGATTATGTTGAAGTAAAAATATATATTATTTGTATTTATTTTTTATAATATTGAAAATAGACATTATTTACTAAATAGATATTCTGAGATTTGTATACCATATTCTACAGGCAATGTGGTTAATGTTGCAACAACCAACAGCAGATGATTATGTTATAGCAACAGGAGAGACACATAGTGTTAGAGAATTTGTGGAAGCAGCATTTCAATATGTAGGTCGTACCATTAAATGGGAAGGTGAAGGAATAAATGAAATAGGACAGGATGTACAAACAGGACAAATATTAGTTAGAGTGAATCCTAAATATTTCCGTCCAACAGAAGTAGTAAGTATTTATTGCATATAACAATAATTATAATACAATACGATATAATATTATAATATTATTAAAAAAAAATGAATATATATAAAAAATAAATATTCATTTTATCTATATAGGATGTACTTTTGGGTGATGCTACTAAAGCAAAAGAAAAAATTGGTTGGAAACCTACCATTACATTTGAGGTATTTATATAAAATTATTATTCTTTATTCTCATGCTAATTATCAATTAAATATTTTATGTTTAATAAACAAAATTATATGTTTTAGAATCTTGTAAAAGATATGATGGATTCTGATTTAGAATTAATGAGGAAAAATCCAAATGCTTAAAATTATTTTTAATATCAAAAGTTAATTAATTAATATTAAAAATACATTCTATGATGTCTCTGTGAGACAATAGTATTTAAAAAATTGATTTGTTAGATTATAAGAAAATTCGAATAATAATTTATTCGTTTGTTATATATTCTTAAATCTGATACAAACAAGTTTTTTTTAAACTTCCTGATATATTAAAAAATAGCTTTATTTAATATTTGATTATATATATTAATATTAATGATATGTAATATATGTGAATATTAAATATTATTTAATTTTATTAGATATAATCTGCATATATCATAGATATATGTTGTAAAATCATTTATTATTTTTTATTTACTGTTGCATTTTAAAGACGTATACATTCTAAAAATTATAGTTATGCATTTTTATTCAAAAATAATTTTATTTGCTGATAGATGCACAAGATTATTAAAATAATTTACATATATAATGTCTTCCTCGTATACATGTTATGTATAATTTTGTACATAATGTACCATATTTTAGAGTAATCATTAAATAATACTTTTAATCTTTGTACACAATATCCAATGTATAATTAAAAACATAAACACATTTTTATAATAAACAGTATTCATTTTATATTCTATACAAGTGTTTTCAATAATATAGTCTATTTTTTGCTTTACAATACATTGAACAAATTATAAAATATAATGATATTGATTATTCGTTTTAAAATCTTAAGTACAAATAATTCATATTCAAATATTTAAACTGGAGCTTTATTCGTGGATTTTCGTAAAATATTTTCGATTGTGAACATCATCGATTTTACACAATGTCCTTGAGCTTCTGTGTATATTATTTTACTATTTCGTGTATTCTCCTCAGTGTTCTTCGTATCAACTGTTTTACACTCTTGTTCATTTTTTTCTTTGCATTTCAAATTGGAAAAAATTTCCGACGAAACCTAAAATATCAATAATATAAAAAAATTTGAAAAAAAATATTACTATTCGACACTTAAATTTTTTATAGCAATTAATTGGAATAAAATTAATTTTTTATTATCAAAATAAAAAAAAAGAAAAAAAGTACAAATAAATCTTTTTAAAAAAAAAATGATTTAATTTGTACCGAGACCATCGTGCGATCTTGTTCCATCTGTTTATCCTGTATAAATCCTTTCTGCCTTCTCATTCTTCTTCTTCTATAATTACCATGCTCAAACATTTCGCTCGCCGAAGGATCTAAAGTCCAATAACTCCCTTTTCCAGCCTGATCTTCAGTGTTATCACTCCCAACCACCTTGTCTCTTGGTATCTTCACAAAACAATCGTTCAAACTTAGGTTATGTCTTATACTATTTTGCCATCCTTGACGATTTTCTCTATAATAAGGAAATCTGTCCATGATGAATCTATAAATGCCGGAGAGGGTTAGTCTCTGTTTAGGCGAAGAATTAATAGCCATGGCTATTAGAGCGATGTACGAATATGGTGGTTTTTCATAACGTGGTTGTGGTTTGTATCTTATTATGGGAAGATCCCATGATAGGGGTATACTTCTCGGATTTAATATATCCGGTACCAAGCTATAGTAATTTGGCAAAGGACACATCGTTGGGAATGTTTCTTCCGTGCTCCATAATTCGCAACCCCTGGATAGATCACAGCTATAAATCTTCGATATGGAGAAGGGATGATTTTGATAACTATTCGACTCCATCGGAAGATGGAATGATCGACGCGCTCGATAATTCGATGTCAATGCACTTTTCACCGATGTTTTGTCCTTTAAGAAAAATTAATATTGGATTTTTTTTTAAATTTAACGTATTTTCTGAAGTTTTATTTTCTAATTTGATACAACTTCACTTTCTTTTACCATTCGTCTCTTCGTTACATACATTAAAATTATTATCTTTTTTTTATTTATTATTATATAAAGAAGAAATGAAATTAGATTATAGATTTTTCCCCGAAAATCATCGAATCGAAGTTTATTTAGTATACAATTTCACTTTCTTCTTGCTCTCGTTTCATCGTATTCCCGCAATAATTGTCCCCATTGATCTTCGTTTTCGGTATCCTCAATTTATGTTCAAAATTCGAAACACGATCGCGATTTTCACAATTTTTCAAATAAATAGTTTAAATCAATTCGTTTCTTCGATCCACTTCTTCTTCAAAGATCGATAAAGCTTTTTGACAAGAAAATCCTCGTCAAAGAAAACCGAACCATACATTCTTTCTCAATATATTAAACGATTATTTAGACCGCTTCACTTCCACGAACAATTAGCGGTTTTCATAATGCAAAAAAAGTATCCACTAGAACCAATTTATATATATATATATATA